CAATGGTATTAGGTTTTTATATGTTGGGTTATGGTTTTTGTAGATTACTACTTTTTTTTTTTTCTGACGTCTTATCAATAAAATATATTGCACTTTGCGTAAAAAAGGGGAACTAGAAATAAAATACGGAAACAGCACTTAAAAGAATGGCCTTTACAACAAATTTTCTATTAAACGGCACAAAAACTAATGCCACTTACGGATTCGGGGATCAAACCAGGAAGTGGTGCGCGCTGGGTGATTGATAAAGTAGATCTCGCCCTCGGGCGTCCTGGCCTGCTCCCATCCTTCGGGCAGTGGTCTCAAAGCACTGTTGGCAGCCGCCGCTGCTGCTGCCGCCACTGCAGCTGCTGAATTATTTGCCTTGCTGCTCTCGACGGCTGCCGCGGCTACGGCCGCGACGCTTGCCGCGGCCGCGGTTTTGCGAGGGTCCTCCCACGTCGTTGTTTTTGTGATGTGACTGAAACACAAAAAATTACCAAAATTTTATTTTTATTTTATGCATAAAGAAACTTATTTTATTATGAAAATTTTTTAGAAGATTAAATATTTATTATTACATTGATGGAATTAAAACACAATTTTCTAACCAAATATACAATAAAAAAATGATGTTTAATGTATAGTTTACAGCTTTTTAAATGATTTTTAGACTTTAAAAATGTTCTACGTTTTATAATTATTTGTTTTTGTTTTTGTTTTTTTTTTTTTTTTTCATTTTAAATGATGATGTTTACGACATTTCAACAATCATGCATTTTTTAATAAAAATACGAGGAAAATTTAGGAATCACCGCTTATATTTTGTATAAAATCTCATTTATAAGCAGCCAATAACATTTTCTTTTAAACAAATTTTTTTTTTGTACATCGCAAACATACTAAACGAATGCATAATTATTAATAATCGTTAATTTTATTGCCTTAAAATTGCCTATTATAAGCCAATCGAATATAAATTCAATTCAACGTCTCGGACAATGCCCTCAACTTGAAAACGATAAGCAAACGCAGCAGCCCATAATCCACTTAAAATACCAATACACAAATATATCAATTACGTTTTCAACGCATACACGTACCAGCATTTGTGTATACCTACGACGAAATAATAATCCAGCCTATTTTATAATAATCTATAAGTACAAAGGTGAATAAGCCAAGTGACTGAATCTAAAAAAAAAATCTCTACTCCCATCTCGCATTAAAAATAGAAAACGTATAATAAAAGAATATCTCGTGCATCTATACGTCGTGTTCCGTAAATAAACACACCTCGTGCACACGTATTATGAGCCCGAGGTGACGCCAGAAATAGTCCGAAGACACACGCGAGTAAGTATATAGATATTGTCATATACGTATGCCATACGCCACGAACCGAGCGATTTTCGGAGCAACATCGCGGTTTATCCCTCGGATGTCTGTATATAACATGACGTCACGCCTGAAAAGCCATTCGTACATGTGCGTGATGTCACGCTCACGATTTCTCATAATACACGCTGTGCACAGATCGGTATATACGATTGTCCGACCATTGCGTTGCACTGCAGCTCTCGTTTCCTTTTTTTTTTTTTTTTTTTCCTCTCTCGTACCACAAAGCAGCGGAAGATGATTTCAGATCGCAGAGTCGTTGCTTTGGCTTATACACGTGGAGAATAAAATTTTCGACATCGAGCTCGCGACACTCTGCTATTGTTGCTGGCGCCATGTACGGCACGTCGTTCGGTACAGTTTGAAGGGAAAAGCGGAAAATCTGCCAAGAGAATCACAAAGTGTCAAAAAGTGATTTATCGAGCACTTTACTGTCATTGAATCGCGAAGGTTCGTAATTTTATTGCTGCAGGTGAAAAGTGCAAGTATACAATTCGAAATGATATCTTATGCTGTATGAATTTATTTCAAGAGTTTCGGCAATAAACATTGGAGGGAGGATGAAATTAACCAAGTGTACGAGTATAACTCTTTTCGTGAGAAACGGGAAAAAAACATCGGGATTACGACATTGCCAAGTGTCTCATTTTACAAAAATAGACTTGCTTTGTGCTCTATACGTAAGTGTGTGTATATTTAACCCACGTGATTCATAATTGCTGCGCGTTTTTTTTTCTCTCTTTAATTCCTCGGGGATCCCAGGAATCGCTATACTGATTAAATAAAGATAATGCAACACATTACGTGTACGTTAGATCATCCGTACTCTCTACATGTTAACATATACTCGGTTCAATTGATATATTATTTTTTATCGCATACTTTTTGATCATAAGAATATGATTGTAAAACTAGGTGAAGGAGATTTCAGCGTCAGTGTGTAAAAATGTAGTTTTTTAAATAAAAAAAATTGACCAGAATCTTTCTCGGACCGGAAGACGTACGATATTTTTTATCAAGGCTTTTACCATTTTAACCAAAAACTAAGTGCCGAAAGCTGATAATTTTCACTTTCCAGCTGACGAGCGTAGAAAACTATACCTTGAAACGTTAAATAAAAAGTCTTTTAGTGATATAAACTGAATTTGAAGACTATAGTTGTGAGTGAAGACATACCACTGCACAAAGTGAATTATACTTTCATTGAATTGTTAAAACTTATACCGTTTTTTTATTCACACGAGAAAAAACTGACACGTTGTCAACAGGAGTCACGTTGGAACATCCTTGAACAAAGACATATAAACATTCAAGTTTCAAGAATTAAAAAAATTGGCAATATCTTTTTTAATCCCGTACTTCCGGTACATGATGTATGAGAACGAGTTTAGTCAAATGTAAGCTTCATTATCTAAGCTCAAAATGGATTATCAATTTGTGAAATCTAATTAATGCCTACATATATACATGTATGATATTATACAATCAGCTCAAAGAGTAAGCAACAAATCCATGGGGAAACGCAATGGTTTCTCGAGTATACAGCTGCCGTTTCGCCGCTCGTCAGAAAAGTGAATGAACGAACAATTATTATGAATGAAAACTGAGATAGAAGAAAGAGGGGCGGGAGTAGGACGGGGCGCTCGCTTCACTTAATACCGCAGTGGGCATATATATAAATATGTAATGCACTGGAGTTGTCGGCTCGAGGAATGCAGAAATCGACCTCTCGCTCGCTCCTTTCTCTGTTTACGAAGCTCGTGTAAGTATATACTAAGCATATATAAGTACGAGTACGAGAAAAGAGCCAGTGTCACCCCGTTCCTCCCCGCTTTTGGAGGCTTTAAAAATAACGCGCCAGACCTCGACTCGCCTTTTTCTTTTTCTTCTTTTTTCTTTTATTTCCGCGATGTCGACGCTGTCTCCGATGTCCCGCGGAGACACAAAACAATGGCGCGCGGCAGATGGGTCTCTCTGTACTCTATGTACACAGATACGTGTCTGGACAATATGACGGGGTTGAAAGGAAGCAGGATCGAGACTTGATGAAAATACATGGACACGTGGATAAAGTACGAAAAGGGCTAAAAAGCCAATGGGAGGTGATACCGTGTATACGTGAATCCGCAGAGATTTTGTGAGTTTTGATGCGGAGTTATTTTAGGATATGGATGAAGATCGGGTGTCTACGAACTACGTGGGCGAGATTGAAGGACGATTTCGTTCGGATGCGTGTTTTGCAATGGTTGAGCAGCGTGATAGGAAAAAAGAGGGTTGAATAGGTCGAGATTTTTGGAAAATTACGAGTCGAAGGGAATCACATTTTTTTTAATGTATATGTATATGGGTTTGAAGTTGCTGTCGAATCTGCTCTTTCGGGTGTTACCCTCAGCACAGAATAAAGATTCAATGTTCATTAAAAATTAAATTGAAACTGAATCACTTGTAATTCGAGATCCAATCGTTAGTTTAACTTCCGCTCGAACAAAAGCTTATTTTGATCACTTTTAATTGAATTTCGAGTGGATATTCTTAACTTTAACTTTGTGAGCTGCGTTACAACGAAAATAATTGGACCGTGATTTTTGATGATAAAAATAATTTTCGATTGTTATGCCGCCCGTATATATATATATATATATATATTTTTTTTTTTCTCCAGAGTGGAAACAAAAATGTGCCGGGAAAACCAGATTAGTCAAGCAAAAATAAAGATTGAATTATACGTGTCACAAGAAAACTTTTTATTTTCAACTACGATTCATTGCCTTTGTCTCGTGATTTTTTGAAAATTTCGACATAAGTACTCGAAGAGAATTTTGAAAACTACGATAATCTCTGGTCCACACCGATAACTCCAATTCCCCGTAAACATCGATTAAAGCAAAATCAATCCCCACTTCATTCGTAAAAGGCGTGACCTCAAATTTATACATCTTCCAGTTGAGCAAGTACTTTCACGTTGTTGAAATAAGATCATCATTAAAGACAGCTCCTTAATTGTTTTAATCCATGTATAAATAAATGTTCGATCGAAGGTGAACTACCGTTGTTTTCCAATCAATCGGATGAAAACTCGTGGCCATCTCCTGTCTCCCCTACTTCTGTTTTGGGTAACCGACTACCAAACGCCACGCCGAGCTGGTCACCATCACCGACAAGTTGGCACTGGTCCAACCCGACGACGACGGCTTCGTCCACGTCAGAGGCCTCGTGCGTCCCGACGTGGTAGTCGTCGACGTCGCGGTCGACGCGAACCTCCTCGGCGACAGCGCGGCGCATACGTGCGCGCACACACCGGGGCTCCGATATAGGGGAGAGGAAGGACGCCAGAAGCGGAGATGGGTGTATTTTTACACCGGACATCGCGGCGCCGGACAACTCGTAAATAGACACTCCGAGCAGAGCGAGAAAGAGCTGCTGCACGTCAACCACTCTCTCCTTGTCCCTTGCACGTTGGGAGCTAGAAACGTTCGGGAGGATCGCACTTCGCTCGCGAACTTCTTTTTTCGCCTTGGCTGCTTAAGAGAGTTTGCATAGGTGTGAGTATACGATGGATATGCTACGGAAACTTCGTTTCATTGTGCCTCTTGATCATGCTCGCGCCACATTTTTTACCATTTTTTGTAATTTAATGTTCATTTCTACGTATTGCGTTTTGAAAGTCTAATGCTCAACAATTTAATTTAATGTGTCGTGTTTTTCAGGATGTTTGTTCCCAAAACAAAAATAATAATGGAATTATAAAATATTTAGGTCACTCGACGGTTTTCCTCGCTAATCACTCGACATGAGGTTAGTAAGTCTCATTAAAGTTTTGCATTTCTTCCCTCCGAGTGCCTTTTTTTTTTACTCATTCGGCATTCAGTTTCTTGCTGGTGCTCTAATTGCACCAATTAACGTTACGTAAATCGCTTCATTATAGGTTTAACACAAAAACAGATAACTTCGGCTGAGGCAATTTTCGATTCTTTAACCTCATTATGATTTTCCTTTCAAGTCTATTGTGTATTAAAAACACATTACCTCTTACGCTAAAAAAACCTCGGTACTTTCATCAGAAAATAAAAAAAAATGGAACAT